TGATTGTAAACCAAAGCTTATTGATACAAGCTCTAGAGCAAGCCAATACACGTCCACCAAGAAATGCTACCCAAAGTTCCACAGTAACATCCCCATCTCATAAATAGATAGATTTTTCTTTGTATATATCTCAGAGAGGTGCCCCTAAAGGGCCAGATATCATGTATTTTATTCTGTATTTTTATCGTATATATATTTTATTAATAAAGATTTTTGATTAGAGGAACGTACAACGTATCATGTGTTATTTTTTGTGTAATTTTTCTGATCGTGCTACTTGATCGAATTTATCGAATTTACTATATATGATCGAGAATTTTTCACTTGTAATTTGTTTACCGCATCAATAAAGCTGGCCCTGGTGGCTGATTAATCGTGTTTACTTTTGCATGTGTATTTCTAAGTTTTAATACGTTGTATAAACATCGATGTATGTTAACCCGCATATGGTCGAGAATTTTCTCTCACCAGATTCGTAAAAAGATTTATTGTATTTTTGTTCTATAAACTTACTTTTAAACATATTCATATTTTGTATAAAATAATGTCAGATACACAATCCAGAGTTGATTCGTGGAATGAAAGAATTTCTAAACTTGAAGAAGCAAATAATGATCATTTAGTCAGAATTAAAAAGCCGGAAGATGCAGATAATGATCTTTTAACCAGAATTAAAAAGCTGGAACAGGATGTAACGGTATTAAAAAAAGAATTGAGGTTTAAGAAAAATCGTAAATTCCAGACTAAATGCATTCAAATAGCTAAAGAAACTCTTGAAGAAAAACCAATAATTGAGTACCGCCCTTCTTTCCTGAATGGGTTAGAACTTGATGCCTTCTTTCAAAAATACCGAATTGCATTAGAAGTACAAGAGGCTCAGCATCGGCTTCATAGCACTAGCTGGTATAAAGATGTCAAAAAACTCGAGGATATTGTTAATCGTGATCGGAAAAGAAGATGCATATGTCAAGATAACGGAATTTTTCTTCTTGAGGTATGGTATGATGAAAATCCAGAAATTGTTATTCCGGAAAGGATACAAAAAATCAAGGATTTCGTTAATCAAACATCAAAAATTTTCGACCTACAATCAAATAATTTATAATACATATCTAAATAAATTGCAGGTAAGTGTTTAATATAACTTATAATACATTATTTTTTGCTTCGGTATCATTTATCCCGAATAAAACTAGCACATCGTGCCTGATCTCTTAAGAAGCAAAGTCTCGAAATTGCGTCTTAGAATGTTTGCTATAAAAAACAAATGAATGCTTTATTAATTGCGTTTTAGAATCTATTACATAGGTCGTGACCTCATCTAATTACACAGCTCATATCACTAATTCGAATATCTCTGATGATGATGATGAGACGAACGATATGAGTGTAGTATAATTACAGACTACTGCTGTCTTTGCAATTCTTTATTAATATATTTACACATGCAGGATTTCTCGGAAATATGTTACTGGCGCGTGATTTTTTCTATTTAAAATTGAAAAACATTGTATTGGTTCGGTGACAGTTACGACTGTGATGATGCCTCTTTCTTAGCTTAAAAGAGAAATTATATGAGTAACTTGAAATTAAAATATAATGAAGAATTTTCATTCATAAAATCCCGATTGCTTACCTAATTTTTCATTAAGCTCTTCTACCAACTCCATTATTGATTCAGCCGGACTTGGCTTTAACTCATAGACCCGGCTTACGGGTTAATTTTTCTTCTGTTAATCGGAGGAACGCTCGACCTGTTAGATCTTGGTCCCTTATTTTTCTTATATCGGTTTCGTTATAATCTAGGTCTTTAATTCTAGAAATGAGAAATTTTTTTACATCTTCCGGGGTCCATTTCTTAACGTCATCCGGGAGTTTATTATCTGAATTAAGATAAAGAGATAATGATAAGTACAATTCATACTGCCCAAAATGATTACTCTTCTTACCGCATTCAACAGTCTTTTCGTTGGAAATTTTAACGACTTCGCCGTTATTATCTCGAATATGTTTCTATTGTCCATAATTTGGGTTGAAGCGCTTCCTGTTGCGAGCATTTGTTGCTTTACCTAATCGGAAGGAAATGTTAACGGTATGTTCTATCCTATAAATTTTCAGACTAAAAATTACCTGCAATGTATCAATTTTCAAATGTGAACAGTCACGTTTCAGACTCATGTTGTCCTTCTTCGGTTTAATTCTCCAGAGCTTAGCAAAAACATAAAATAGATAATTAAAATATTTGCAAGACTCATTGTATCGAACGAGCAGTTCATCACTGTGAACTAACAGTTACAGCTTGGTTCAAACGTTGAGCTATCAGCTCTTCACTGTGGACTAGGAGTGTCACTGGAACTAAAAGTTCCCAGCTTACGCTTGAAATATGAATGGAACTGGCAGTTCATGACTGGAACTAACAGTTACAGCTTCGAAATGAGTTTCCAGCTTGCGATCAAAGCGGGAGCACTGTGGCTAAGGGTCACTAGCTTACTAATAAAATTACCTTCCAATGATCAATAATTGATTGTGCCTTTTTCCTGTGATCCTCACTAAAGACAGAATTCAAATTCGCGACAATTTTAAGATCTTTTTTGATACAATCTAGCACGTGCGCCCAGTCTTTTCTTTTTAAATTTGCACGGTAATGTTCAACTAGTTTATCACAAGTCCAGTTTTCGATTGGAATGGTGTTATAAGAATCCAAGTTCAAACGTTCAGAGGGTTTAGAGTCAGAAGACATCGTTAGAAAAAAAAATAGGACTCATCCTGTTCCACAACTATATAAATCGTGATTAACACGTGATAAGTACTTTATGTAATAATTATAACCTTATTGATTTCTGTAATAATATTTTTTTTTAACGCTATAAACTACAATGTAAAAGGCCAGCCTGTAAAATTATTCATGGAGTAGCGGACGTTTAAAGGGAGGAACATCTCGAGTCCTAACCCATAAAATGAGAGTTCCTTTCCCTACTCCATGTTATTAGCTAAGTTATTGTCATTATTATTGCTATCATCTAAAATTATAGCGGAGCTACCATGGGTATTACTACTACTGTTACTTGAAAAATGGTTTCTATTGCTATTACTAATGATAACTGAATTATCTTTTTTCCAATTTTCTCTCTCGACCCAATTTGCGATTTTATCTAATGAAGTTATTAGTGGTGCTCTCTGATGTCAATAAAAAGTAGCGAGTGTAGTTGGACTTAGTCCAATTTCTTCAGATAATACATTATATAATTTCGTAGGAGAGCGTTTCTCTCTTTTTCTTCTCTCGTCAAATAGGGCAGTAAATTTGACCCAGAGAGTTTCAGTTTTGACGGGGTATTCAGATTGGTGGCTCTACATGGATACTCGTCCTAATAAAGAAATACACACTATAGTAATCAACATGTAGAATACACGCCAAACTTGTAATATAACACAAACCTTGACTTCGGACTTCACTTCTCCATTCCAAATCCTTTTCTATTCTTGCATGATCATTTTTTAGAGCCAACATATCTCGTTTTAAGTCTTTTATATTCGCATCCAACGTAGTGGAAATTGGAGTTGGAATTGGGGTTGGAGCTGGAGATACATATTTCCGTAGATAAATAAATACTACGGCGATAATTACATAGAATATTGTATTTTCTGAGATAACAGAATAAATCATCTCCATTGTTAAGACAGCGATGAAAATCGCAAATAAAAAAATATCGAAAATGTTGAGTTGCATTTTTCGTGGTTATTTATGTCACAATTGATAAATTGATTAATTGACAGTTTGAATGAAGTGTGATTGTTCAATGATGGCTTTAATGATTGTTTTGGCAACTTGATTTCTTACCCGAGACTTCAGCAATTTCAACCCATTTTTATACATCAGACCTTGTCATCAACGATCTACGGCATTGGTTCTTTACATCTCATATTAAATCGAAGCAATAAATCATAATACATGACGATTTCGTATTATTTATGTCAATTATTGTGCATCGGATGATCGCTCACCTATAAAATCATCTATGCATATATCGTCGATAATTGACAATTCCTCATATGTATCACACGATTTTTGTTTGTTACTTAACTGGGATGCAATAGCGAAGTTAATGTCAAGACACATGAGGTTTTATTTCGGAATAAATGGGTTTCAATTCTCAACATATATCACAGGCGGTATACGTGTAATGCAATATATAAAAAATCCTGATAATCATGATCAATTATTTTTTTACTTTGAATGTATATTATTATAAATATAGTTCACAAAAAATGCTATCCGAAATAAAAGAAAACAGAATCAATACTAGTAATGATGCAAGCTAGCTTTCAGCTGAAGTTACTCACCTCGAGTTTGTAAGAGATAGAATATCGGCCTCCGGTAAAGATATTACTCTTTTAGAAGAATTTTTAATGTCAGCATGTAAAAAATAGAAAATATCTTATAGTTCAAGCCTAAGAAGTCTCAAAATTACTCATTATTCTAAGCTCTTAGATAAAAAAGTTCTAAGTATATTACGCTCATACCCAAATATAACCAGTCTAAATTTTGAACAAAGTGAAAGTTTTACTGATACATCGCTTATAGAAGTTGTCCAGTCGTATTCCAACTTAGAATTTCTCAATGTCTGCGATAACCGAGATATAACTGATCACTTCATATATAAAATTGCACAATCATATAAAAAATTATGCTACCTTGATATTGGTTTTTGCGGGAATATCACTGATGATTCCATATATAAAATCATAAAAATATGTTGCAAATTAGAACTTTTATACATTGGCAGATTAAAACGATATAGGCCAATTGCTGATTAGACGATAATTGCAATTGCTTACTCATGTCCTAATATTCGTCATCTCTCTTTAACAGGTTGCCATAATATTACTGATAATTCGGTTAATAATTTGTTACAACATATTCATAACTTAGAGTATCTCGAACTTGATCAGTGTAGATTTGTTACTGATTCATCTATCTGTAATATCGCTAACTCTTGCCCGAAGCTTGAACATCTTGATATCGGCGGTTGCGATGCTTCTGACATATCTATCTGTAATATTGTACGTTTGTGTAAAAATTTAAAATATCTCAATATCAGGTGTTACCGTCTTGTCACTGATATAGTTGCCAATGAAATCGCTCAGCATTGTTTAAACTTGAAATTTCTTTTTATAGTAGACACAAATATTAGTAAAGATGCTTTGATCAAATTTAATCCAAAGATTAAGGTAAAGCAAGATTCAACACTTGACATGGGATCAGAAGAAGAACTTAATGATCTCCAGACATCACTTGTTTATTTGGTGCAGGATTTATGGTTAAGTTATGCGAATCTCGAAGATATTGTACAATACTGTGAAGACAAGATTAAAGATGAATATTATCAAAAATCAATTGTGGAATTGGAGCAGGATATGAGAGGTACGGTTGAAAGACTTGGTTTGATGATACGTTGTTACAGAATGAAAATATAATGATAAAATAATATTAAAAATACCTGCAATAATAACCCTTAAAATAATATTTAAAATTAAATATTAGTTCATGTAACAAATAGTAACAATTTAATAATTACTTT